GAAGTTTATGATTCTCAAAGATCATTATATTATTATATTATATTATTTTATCCTCTTCACTTTAAACGCTATGAGTGAGTGGTGTATTTTTAACAGGTTCTTTGAAAATCGGCATATTACATTAATTAAAACGATAGTGCCTTTACTTAAAAGAATTTTTGAGGAAATTCATAAACAAGACGTACAAAAAAAAAAGTAAAGAAAAATTTTAGAAAAAAAAGAACAAAAAAGAGGAATAGTAAGTGAAAATAATTAATGAGCATTTTATTTTGTTTTGTTTATTTATTTATTACGATTTCTAGTCTTCTATGATAAGACGAAGTATCTTTGAAGATAGATTTCATATTATTGAACGGTTATCTATTATTATTATTAGATATAAGTCATTTCTACATATCTTTAATATTTTCTGTAAAGATACAAACAATATTTCACAGCATTTTGCAAAACAATATCCCAGTAACACTTTACCAAACGCAGTATAAAATCCACAATTATTATCTTTTAATAACATCCTAAATTTTCACTAGGCAAAGCCTTTTAGAAGGACTTAATTTCGCCAGCAATGAACTGAGCTTTGTAAGTCCAACCGCAACGTAAATTGGTTTTCATTCTCATTCCGCTCAGGTATCGGAGAGCTTTGGTTTCGTTCACTTCCGCCCTATTTGAGTACCAAATTTTTTTTCTTTTACATTAGTTGCTGACGTATGAATTATTACATCCACAAATCTTTCGGTAACTTGTACATAAACCATAAGCAATATGTTTCTTGCTCGAAATGTGAAATAAATTATTAAGGTCATAGAAAACATTCTGAAGCATAAATCGAATTATGATAAGCATCTAACTAAAATAATACACTTTTAATTAATATTTCGTTTAAAATGTAATTTTCCTGCAAAAGAGTGTCCCAAATATATTTAAAAGATATAAAAGACACAGTATTTATTGTCAATAAATATATTGGTTGATAATATCCGATCTCTCTGAAGAGTCAAACGCGGAACACAATCAAACACAAATAAAACCACTAAAAGAGAAACATTGATTCAATAACAAATATAACATTTCAACAAACGCGGTTTCACAAAAGACTTATCAAATAATAATCGGTTCCGTAGTGTGGTCAGGGAAACCCGAGAGAGGTGAAATTTCATCTTTTTCTGCTAACACAACACGCTTTATGATTACGTTTCATGGCTGGAGGGGGAAGAGAAAAAGAAAAAGTGACCACCGGTAAAAAATAAAACTAAACAAACCAATATTCACTGCAACACTGCAACCAATAAGGATTCTTGGTTTCAGTGCTTTGCAAATACTCATACTTCATACAAAGATATGCTCAATATTCACCCTCATACGCCGGATTTATCCTTATACAAATAATGGACTAAATGAAGACTGCTAGTATCTCAGAATGGTTTCCGTACCCGTTTAGTTGCCGCAAGTACGTATTTACAACTATGTGAAATGGAATAAACAAGGAGAAACCAAGAGATGATGAAAAGAAAGATTAGCGTCCAATTATAACTGCATTGACGCAACAGGTGTGTGTAATCCCCAATTATGTAACTTCATAATAACTGGACGGGTAAGAAGTCACCTGGACATCGCAACCATGATAGGCTATCGGGCCATGAGCTCTTTAAAATCCGTAAAACACGTAACTGCGATAAAATAATTACTAAACTTCTATCGACCGAGATGTAAATGAGTGTAAGTAATAAATTACATATATGTATTCCTTATAGCCAATAAGGAACAACAATAGAAATACCTAAAATAATAGCTACAATTTTCCCGTAATCAAAATAAACATTTTAACACATTTTTGTCTGGTAAATTTTCTCACTGCCATTCACAAAATCTCTGTATCTGCGTTTGGTAAAAATTATAATTTAATTTATTTATTTATTTTCTGTGACATACATTAGGCTATTGGTAATTCCGAAATGACGAATTTTCGTCATGCGGAAGAATACGTGCTAAGAACAGATGGATAATAAGAATTAGAAATATTTTCAATAAAAAAAGAATACCTTAAAAAATATATATGAACAAAGAAATACTAAAATGGGACCGATAAGTCACATCCAAATTGATTACCTAATATCATCTGTAAGTAACCTTTCAAAATCTTAGATATAAATAGAAACAACCCTTTAGAGGCACCGATTACGGAGTAGACGAGCTAGCATCAGCAATTAACTCTTTATAAGGCATAATAACATAATCAGTCGGAGCTTTCATTTCCAAAGCATTCCATTCCCGGCGGAAGCTTTATTGATTCTTATAATTGCAAAACGGAAACGGTTAACTTCTAGGACTCATCCACCGCACTCGGCATTCCAAGGCGACCAACAACCACCAATCGATAATAAATCACCTTATTAAAAAATGTAGATTAAAGATATGTAGCATTATTCTGTGGCTCAGCGGGTTAACGAGCGGATCAGGAACGAATAGCTTAGAACAATCGGCTAGGACGAAATCCGATCTTATCTGTAATTGATTTCGAAACCGCTGATCGAATCCTAGCGGTCTTCAGGAATCGATACTGGAAGGATATTACAATCGAACTCTGGCTATTCCTGTGGCGATGACGACTACCACAGAGTTGCGGTTTCGTCTTTACTCCGTTTCCACATAAAAGCTCCTTTTTGTTTTCTGTATACTTTATATATATCTGCTACTTCCACAAGTTGTTAGTTCTACGTTTCGGCAACTGATGGAAGTTCGCAGCCATTCTGAGTACAAGGATTCTACTTAAAGTGCGGAAAACAATTCAATTAAATTAACTTCAACCTTCGATGTAGCCACGGTACTTCCGATCCAAGAGAAATGAGTAAGTAGATTAAGTTCAAGACAGAGACCTTTAAAACAACCGGAACCTGTTCTTGGCCGCTGAAGAACTCTCCAACTCAAGAATCCAGACAAGTAGAAATAAAAAGTCTAGACCATGATTGCTCGGTGAAGAAGAAAAGTTGCTTGATTGTGGAAGTGGGTTAGTGATGTAACTTGCGGCGCCGTTCACATCTAGGGAAGGAACATGATCTATGACATAACTTGGGAACAGAAACCGAAACAGGGATTTTTATAATAACTATTATACATTGCAATAAGTAAGTGGAAGAAGGCTTGGGTATTGTTATAGCAAAGAAGTGCAGAAAAATTAAAAATAGAATGATTTTTAGCTAAATATTTATATGAACTAATTTTAACAAATCTTGAAATTTTCAGCCCCTAGCATAATCAAACGAATTCATACTAATAAATAAGCGTTTTTTTTTTTTTTTTTATCCAGTACAAGTAACAGAAGTAACATACCTTTCCCAGGTCTTGTAGGACTAAATACTTCTTTCATTTCAAGAGTGTATGATGAAAAAGTGGGAAACAGGAACTTTCAATCAGGTTTCAAAATTGATTTAATTAAATATTATTTTTAATTAAATAAGTTTATTTAACTACTGAATAAACTTTATTATAATATATTTAACTTAATTAAAAATACTGATTTAATTAAAAATAGAACCTTTTAATTATGTTTTAAGATTTGTCCATATGAGATAATACTTTATATTAAAAAGAAACTAGAATAGAGACAATCTTGGGGTAGACTAAACTACAAATTTCATTTTGGGGGGAGATTTTTTGTCAAACTATATTCATGAAATTCTAGAGAACATTCAATGGTTAAGAACACTTTACAGAATTTTAAATAATATTCATGAAGTTCTTCATGTAGCTCCAATCCATAGTCCAAGCTCCAACCGTAAAAAAGGTAGGTCATGGAATTTCTAAAAATATCACTGCCTGTCATTAGTATGCCTTCAACGAGTAGTTTCATCACACGTCATAATAATCAGACTGAATCTATAATGTATTTGCTCAATAGGGTAGACATTTTCAGTTATAAGAATACAATAAAATCTAACAGTACAGTCCAACACGGTAACTTAAAGGAAAACGAAATTTTCACAATTAAGTGGAATCATGCTCTTGTTTATGGATTTTAAAATTCAAAGGAATTCCTGTACAGAAATTAATCTTTTAAAAGAAAATTTGTATCAATGAATTCAATTAATACCCATAAGTTAACAATTATGAATGGGAATACATTATTAAAAAAAATTAAAATAAGAGTAACACCAAAATTAACAGTAAATTTTCGTGCAATGGAACATATAAACTCCATGGTACAGACCACTTTTTATCAAATTATTTATTTGATAAACTGATGAATGTTCTGCTTGCTTTCTACTTGGATTGTAAGATAATTTGGGCATAAAATCGAGAAAAAATGTGGCCTTCGCAAACATTGACGTGACCTACACCCCAAATTGTTAAAATAACGAGGTTATATAGGACAAACGGCACAATATTTTTAGGCCAACTTTTTTAATCCATTTTGTGATTAAATTATCTTACGGCCCCAGTGGAAAGCAAATGGGTGTTTACGAGTTTTTAGTACCATATTAAATAAATAAAGTTTGCCGACCTCCAGATTGAAAACTCCCCAATTCCAAGAGTTTTTGTAAATGAAATATTTGTGGGTTACGATGAGATGAAGCTATGAAGTTTCAGGCGGATGTTAATAATTTGATAAAAATAGGTCTGTATCACGGAATATAAGTTTAAATCAGTTAAGCAATTTTATGGTGAAAGGTCTACTAGAACGTATTAAGAAAAATAACCAATAACTGACATAGGTGTAAATAAATTAATTTATTTTAAATATATATAAAATAAAAACTGAAAAAAAATCCAACATGAAAGCATCGTCAAATATTTCTGTCATTTTAATAATCAGTAATCAAATTATAGTTTTAGTTTTATTTCTGTTTTAATTCCCTAATATTGTTTTTCCAAAGGGTATATTAATTTTAAAACATTTACTTCTATAGGAACTATTTCAAACATTTTCATTTAAATCAATTTATTAAGTTTTCATTCACAAAAATATCTAATGACAACTTAAGTTCTTTTGCCATTTTCAAGTCAAGAATACAAATTCTAAATAACTCATGTGGATGTGGACATTGAGGGTTCGAAACAGTTCCTCGTGAAATGAAATAAGTTTTATTTTATTTTTATTGTATGGCTTCAACCACGGTCATTATTGCCTTATTTTTATTGAGAATTAGATTGTATTTTGAAGTTTAGAACATTTCAGAAAAGAAATTAGTTTATCAATTTCATTCGTATTGTCCTGTAAAATGAAGTGTAGATCGTTTGCCACAAGAAAGGCTAAATGTTTCGTAAGCTCTGCATTCTGTTAAAATGTGTTTCACTGTCAGAGGAGTCCCACAGGTTTGGCATGTTGGCGAAGAATCACGGGCCATCAGGTATCCATGAATAAGGCGTGTATGACCTATACGCAGGGGCTTAAGAATTACTTCCTCTCTGCGGTAAAATAAGTTTTAAATTCAAAATTGAATTTCATAAGACTGCATGATCATTGAAGCTGATGTCTAAGATCGATCTTGATGCCTCGAACAATTTTCGATTCGCCTTCAAGAAGCACCCTCCCCCGAGGGACTGTGGTATATCCGTTGAAGACTTTTTATCGCCCCAACAAAGACCCAGACAGCAGCTGATCCAGCACGTGCACCTTTAAACCACCCCCGCGTCTTAAGGAGTCCAGGAAGCCGTGATAGGAGGACCAGGTGGAGTACATCTGGAGGCCATCTGCCAGGACCTGAGCAGGTAGAGGCAGCTGCGGGGCAGGTGATGGCTAGCCACCTGGGCACGAGCGAGCAACAGATTGCTCACTGATTTCTCTTCAAGTCTCCTCGACAAACCATTGCTTCCGATGGCACAGGTCCCAAATGTTTGTAGAGCAGCAGCTGCTTTGCAAGGTCGAGAAAAGTCTTTTTGGAGTTAAAGGTAGGAGTAGCCTACACAAAGACAGGAATACAGTTGAATGTCAGGACAAATAATGGGTAAGGCCTTTAGTGGGGATTTAAACTGAAAGGTCCATTATTCCGAAACCAAAAACATAGTTTTCTTTATGTAGTGAACATTCAAAAATACAACAGCTGAAAGGAAATGAATCGACTTGCAATCATCGGGACCAGTCAACTTGCTCTATGTGTGACGAATCGAGTTCGTGATTCCATCCGATCGAATGCATCCTTCGACCGTACTTTGTGAATGGAATGCCGAATAAAGAAAGCATTTAAAAATAGTGATGAAATAATATGAAAGTTATTTCTTTTTTTCGTAGTTCTCATAGCTCCAATGGTTTTCCCTGAACTTATCATTGAGGAACTGATAAGTGAACTGTCATGTGATTAGTAACTAGCGTCACTGACTTTTTAGGTGTTCCTTGAAATCTTAAAGTTATGAATGTGGGTAGTTTAGTCAGTTTTTGTTTTCGTTCAATATACGATTCATATTACTGATTCAGAGAAAGCTTTTGATAGGTACTATATACAGTTTTACTTTTTTATTCTCATATTTACTCTCTCTCTCTCTCTCTCTAGATCTATCAAATTTTGTAAGTACAGCACGCGATATTAATGATTAGTATACTGCTAATAATAATTGAAACAAATTCCTATTAAATATCGTCGGCACTATGTTAAAGTAATGAATGTGCAACGTTGGGCAGGTTAAAATTCGTTACTTTTACATGAAGGCGATGATATATAAGCCAAACAATATAATCAACAAATTGATATTTTCTTGCGAATTTTATTTTATTTTTGGAATAACATCCCAATAAAACAACTTCATAAAATGGCATGTAATTGTGTTGTTCGGTTTTTTTATTTATAACTTTTTGGTATTTAAAAAAATCATCAAGTGATGATATTTTAGGACCCCTCGGACTCTATGCTTTCCGCTTAATCCGACCTACCTGTTACTTAACCAGATCATTGGCCTTATGATTTGTACTATTCAACGAGCGATCAATACTGGAGAGTCAGGCATCCTAGACAAGTAGACAATACTGACAAACAAGCTTGTGTTGCAGACAGGAGCAGTCCATACCGACATAGAACACAACCATTAGCTCACACAGAACCTAAAGAATGCTTTGTGCCACTGCGCCACACAGTCGTTTATTCATCCAGAAATCGAAAGTGATAGTACTATATCAATCATTATCCATCAATTTAATGGCCCGTCTCAAGAGGATTCGGCTCTCTTTATCCAACATTTTCTTATTGTTCAATTGAGCAATCTGTGGCTGAAGGGCAACCGAAGGTTCGTTTACCTCCAGCAGATCTTGTAAAGGTTTACCAACTACTTCGGACCAAAATACATACATCTTCTAATAACAATATTAGTTAAACGTTCGTAACTATACTATGATAGTAGCATTGGCGGGAATTCCATGACCCATTTCTTATGACTGGATCAAGCGTGGTGTCAGACTTGACTAATTGTCAATGAATAGGGGAATCGCCGAGACTGAGAGGTATCATTGATGATAATGTATGAAATGATATGATTTGTTGCATTTGTATCTAACAGAAAACTATGAAAACATATTTTCAAAAGAGAGAAAAGAAAAGTGACTTATCGAACAAGTAATATATATAATTTACGTTTATTATTTTGCTCCATCACTACGGAAGGTAGGAAAGCTTTGTATTAATGCGAAATTCGAAAAAAAAAAAAAAAAAAAAGGTCTGAACTCAGAATTTCTATTAGACTTTAGAGAACAATGTCGGTTCCACGTCTGTCGATCTGTAGTCAAACCTATGTTATCCAAGAGCATAACGTCAACTAACGTTATTTTTTTTTAAATAAAATTTTCAGAGATTTGGCAGCTAGGTGTCTAGATGGTCTGATACCAATTTTGTCATATCTCACAAGTTATTTTTGCGTTCCCATACACAAAGGTATTTTTCTTGAAAACGCTTGGCAGATTTGGCTCAAAGTTGGAGGATGGTTGGCGACTAATATACACGTGGTCCAGTATAGATTTAAACAAATTTCATCAACTACTTTTGGATAAATCTACAATACGAAAACATCTTCAGACCATTCTTGACAGTCTTTAATTTTTATTTCTCCAACTGCATAAATTTGTAGTGATTATATACAATGATATTGGGGTAAATCTTGCTTATCTACTGTTATTTCAAGGCCAATCGTATAACAACTTAAGAAAAATCCAAGTAAAACTTGCGATATACATAATGGCATTCTTCAGGAGTGACACCCTGTATTTCCTGACCTCTGCAAGACGGGTCTCGAAGGAGGACGAAACACGAATGTTCCGAATTGCATGATCCAACTATTATCAAAGCCTGGGAAGCTATTTCCTCATGCAATTCCACTCAACGCTATTTTATGGTTTACTGTAGAAACTTTCTTTTTTTTTCCGTCTTCATAAATTTTATCTTTTCGACATGCCGAGACGCATACCATACGGTCCACAAGTAGGACAGAGGAGGTCTAGCAAATTCCAAGAGTGGTACTATTTTAGACGTGTCCGGTAGAAATACCCTAGGGCAGTCATGGGGACAATGGCCTCGACAAATTAGGGACTTGGAGGTAATTTAGGACACCAAGGGCCTACCTGAAAATAAACATTCTATTTTCTTCATTTGCAAACCTTCCATAAAAAATGACAGAGAATATACAATGATTTAGGGAATGTTTTATCTAAATAATTTATTTAAATAAAAATTTAATAATCAAATTTATATGAGTTTCAACAAAGGACATTTAAAGTCATTACATTAATAAATTGCAATCGACTTTCGGAAATTAAATCAATTTTAAGAAGTTACTTCTAACTTCGAACAAATTTACATAAATTTACCTTGACAAGAATAAAATTAATGGAATAAATTTTAAAAAAGTGCAAATAATGGTAATTTAATAATTCGACTCTCCTATATCAATGAAATGCTAAACCTACTAGACTTACAATTTTTTTTATATTAATATGTCTGTCAGCAGTTACCAACTCCAGTGTGACTGATCAACTATTTCATGTCCTCGGATTATTTTATTAAAATCGTGATTTATTCACAATATACACACAAACATATATTTATATATACACATATATATATATATATATATATATATATATATATATATATATATATATATATATATATATATAGTATAGAGATAGATGATAAATGTAGTAGAAAAGACAGTATTTCCACAAAGGGCAATGATAAACTGTGGCTTTTGAATAAAACATGAAGGATGGGTCTATATTGAGCCCCGCTGTGTCGGCGGTAACTTTTCTCTTTAATTTATTTTTTATTTCAGATAGACAGTTTAATATTTTGTCGGATGCGGCATACGGAAAAATGCAAATAGGGGTAGGAGATAAAAAAAAAGTAGGAGAATAGGGATGAGAGTGGTCGATAAGAGAAAAAAATAAGGAAAGAGTATTTGTATTAGTATGGAAAATCTAGAAATGTATTTGGTATGCATTGTATCATTTTTGTTTAACTTAAAGCAACAATAAATTTGTATTTTAAATTAAAAACAGCAAACAACGTCGGCAGTCACAAAAACTTTAAGTGTCCTTTCTTATTTTAATACTAAGTCTTCAAGTTGTTTCCACTTAAAATCCGAGAGGAAAAGAAGTAAAATTATATATTTGGGTTCAAATTTTTTTATATTCATCCATTAAGGAAATAACGTCACTTTTAAATAAAAACTTCGTGTAATATCAATGGGATTAACAGGGAATACATGAAACGCAAATCCGCGCATGCGCGAAATAGCCAACAGCTGACTCAACCGTTGGAAACGAATTCAAACTCATTTTTTCTTTTTCCAGAACGAAACTAGTTTTCTGCAGCCAATGTCGTTTCGGACTGATCCTTCTTCTATTTGAAACACTTCAACCGTCATACTATTCAATAAATATATTTGTCCAGCGTTTTTTTTTCTATTTGAACCTTCAACAAATTACCAAAAGTGGCAATTTTCATCGATAAGAATTTTTTTCTAGTTCAGATTTGACTTAAGATGAATAGTAATATGTCTGAATACTTATTAGTAAAGGATCCTTAATTTCTAGAACTATTCATAATCAATAATTTAATTAATTAGGATCATAATAATTATTATCTCTTAGGTCAATAGTAAATATAATTTTATACTTTATACATAATTTTATAACAACTACATTGCGTTAGTTAAAAAAATAAATAATATTAATTATAATTATATGTGTATAAATTACCTTTTAGTAGTGTGTGAAATAAATCTCTTCATAGTCATGTTGTGTTCCGATAACGTAGCACAGATGGAGGACGTAATTTTGAAAAGTGTGAACAAGAACGGACTAAACGTTAAAGACTGGCGTACTTCTGACACAGAACTCAAGCACAGACTGAATCACTCCGAGGGTGGCCCGCAGGTTGTAGAGGGGAGTGGGGATACCCGAAGGTGCCGCCATCTGGGAGATATGTTCCAAGAACTGGAGGGCTGTCTGCGGGTGATGGTTCCATTAGCAAAATATTTTACTGTCAGTCGGGAAACCCAATTTACCAAAAAGATATATCCAGAGCTTTTAACATAAATGGCAGATCATTGTTCAAGGCTTTTTGAATATGTATTCTTCTCGCACGGTTCCACTTAATGTACGTATCAAATTTAACCGGAATAGAAATGCTTAAGTACCATTCTTAAGCACCATCATCATATTTGATAACCAATTTTTCCTTAAATATATTTCCTATTCACACAAATATTTTAATTACCAAAAACACAAATTTATTCTCGTTTTTCTCGGTTTATATTTTTAAGGTCAAGGCAATTAAACTTCCATTTTTTCTTTAATTTTTTTTAATCACATCTGACATTTGGGGATAATTTTCCCATCTTCAGAGATTACTTTAAATTTACTAGTCTTTGTAATGCGGCACCAATTGTCAAAAATTACAATAACTGTCATATATATATTAAAATATAATACTTTTTTTGGTATTACACGTTCATTTTCTATATATAACTATATCAACCAACACTTGGTTATTTCAAGTTCCATTATTGTACTTATGCTACAATAATGGAACATGAAATAACCAAGTGTTGGTTCGTAGAGTTTGTGCTCTATTGATTCTCAATTTTAATAATTTATCATCCATTATATTATAAATCAAAATCATGCATACTATATATATGTATATATATATATATATATATATATATATATATATATATATATATATATCCTAATAAAAATATAGTATTACGTTATTACAAAATCAGAAACTGATAGTCCTGTCACCAAAACCTTACTATATTTGAGATGACCTCAAATTGGATAGGGGAAATTGATTCAGAAAGAAAATTTCATTATGAGTATTAATTTCATACAAAACTTGTATAAGATAAAATAAAATAAATTGTAAATATCATCAAAAATAGAGATGGAACGATTGTGGCCACAAATCCTTAAAATATGTTTTATGTAGTTTTAAAATATTGT